AAATAAAATATATTTTTTGTAGATTCTAATTTATTTATGAATTATATTTATAGAAAAAAAATAAGTTTAATCTTTTTAACATCTTCTTGCATCAACCATTTGTATGCAAGTCATAGTCGGCAATAGACACATAGTTGATATTGATATTAGATTCGGAAGCATGCATAATACCATGGTATGACGCTGACAGTGATTCGTATTCGTGATCCGAAAAAATGAATTCGAATCCTTTTTTATTGCAGTAAAGTTTTACAAAATAATTAAAAAATGGCTTTATCAAATTTACTGTCAACTTCTAGTTTTTGTGGCGTTTTAGAAGTTGATGTAAATGTATCATGATAGGCTTGTAGCCCTAATTTCTCCGATTTTAAATTTATCGGAAATGTCAACAAAATTTTTCTATGTTCAAAGGGTGAAACAGTGATAAAAACAGTTAATAATAATCAGGGACAACTTGTATTCCAAGAGTAGTTGCAGATTTTTTTATTTGTATATGACAAGACCATCACCATATGTTTTATTTATTAAAAGTGTTAGGAATAGCTTTTCAGACAATCGTGGATTACTTTTCATTTATTAGAGAGGTGTTTGTTTATTTGCATGTTCAAAATAATTAAGTTATTGGGGGGGGGTAAAATAAAATACTTGAAATCGATGAGGCTAAAATGGGAAAAAAGAAAATAACAAGGGTCGTTATTTAGAAGGGCAGTGGGTATTTGGAGGGATAGAAAAGGATAGGCTGAATTTTTTTTAACTGCCATTGAAAATTGAAATTCCAAAATTTTAATAAAAATATTAAATAAAAATAAGGCACAATTTATAGTGATCAATGGCAAATAAATTTTGATGATCCAGACACTAGAACACATACACAAAAGATTGAGAGGACTTGGGCAGAAGTTCGAAAACTGTTACAGCGATTTTGGGAGTAAAAAAGGACATTATGATGAAGTTTAGAGACCATCGCAAACGAATACATGCATTTTGGAAAATGGCAGCAGAATTGTATCCACCACTGAAGATGATTTGAAGATAGGATTAAAATTTATTAAATTTATTATATTGAACTAAAAATTTGATAACTATAATAAACAAAATTTATAATTTTGAAGTAAAAAAGGAAATTTCCTTGACCTAACAAAATTTAAAAAAAAGTCAATATTGACTTGTACCCTCCTAGCACCACTATTCACTCCATTTCACATAAATTTGTTAATATTAATTTACAAAAATAGATACATTTCTGAAAATAGGATACTTTTAATAATAATAATCTTTATTTTGAGGAACAATCATAATACATATAAGACAATTTTTAAACAAAACAGTGTCAAGGAAAATATATTAATGATCACATAGAGTAATATTCATTAATTGAATATGGTTCTAAATTAATTAACAATTCATATACTTCCCTTTTAAATACTTTAATATTTGCTAATCTTTTTATTGCATCAGGCAGTTTATTGTACAACTTTACACAGCTGTACCCTGCTCCATGTTCTGCAGCTGTCAGCCTATGTATTGGATATACTAGGTTTATATTTCTCAATATATAAGCACTTGTTGGTTCAAAATTTGAAAATAAACCTCTATTTTTAAATAAAAAAATTAAGCATTCCTGGATGTATATGCCTATCACACTTAAGATTTTATTTTCTCTAAATTTACCTCTACATGACTCTATCATATTCAAACTGAGCATTTTCTGCATTATTCTTTTTTGCACTAAAAAAACCCTTTCAATTGAATTGCTCCCACCATAGAATATTATCCCATATCTAATTCTGGATTCAAAATTTGCAAAGTATACCATTTTTAAACTATCCCATTCCAAATATTTCTTCACAATTCTGATGCTGTAACAGATCTGGCTCAGTTTTGTACATACAAACTCAACATGGCTTTCCCAGCACTGAAAACTATATAACCCCAGAAACTTGGTACTAGTTAAGACCTTAAATATACAGTTGTTTAGTTGAATATTGGCATTTCATCTCTGTTGTAATTGGTTTTAAAAAGTACCACATTTGTTTTGCCCTCATTGAGTATTAATTTATTTCAAACCATTTTTTAGCTTTAGTTATCTCTCTCTACATTTAGGGTTAATTCCATCATATTAGATGCATTTATTAAGATATTTGTGTCACCTGCATAATTGGTTAGCACATAGTTCTCATTAGCAATCATAACACTGTTTAGTTCATTCACATAAATAATAAAATCAATGGACCTACTATACTTCCCTGAGGTATTCCTATATTAGATGTTTTTTCTACTGATCTACCTTCCTCATTATTTTTATATATTTTGACAACTTGTTTCCTATCCTTAAGATATGATTTGAACCACCCTAATGCAGGCCCCCTAATTCCATATTTCTCCTGCTTGTCCAGCACTATCTCATGGTCTAGACAATCATAGGCTTTGGACAAGTCCAAGAATAGGCCCATAGCCAGCCTACCATTCTCCAGATCACCTAGAACATGCTGAACAAACTCGAAAATTGCCGTTTGAGTAGATGTCCCATGCTGGTAACTGTGTTGATAAGTTACAGATCATAACAAATTCTAATACCCTGTTACACATTGCTGCTTCAAACATTTTTGAGAAAGAATGTTGCTTATCCACCCAACAGCTCTATTCATTCCCTATCATATAAGTTACTTAATATTCATCTGCACAAACTTTCAATAATAAATTCTTTTTAAGAAAGATGATTTACATCACAAAAAAAAATATATGTAGAAATCGAAAAGAGGTCAAACTAGATATATATTTACCCAGCTTGATTATGCATCACCATGACCTGCTTTTTAAGTTAAAATCATAAAATATTTCATTATTCTCAATTCAATGATAAAATACAGAGTATATTTTTTGAGTTGCATCATGATAGAACTTCGCAGTAATTAATGTGTTAAAAAAATCAACTGCTAAGTGCTATAGCAGGGACAGAAGTTGGAAATGATTTTGGTAGGTAGAGAGGTGGTAACCTTCAAACACCATCGGACGGCTTCAAGAATTTCTTGGTAATATTTGTGGTAATACCAAACTTTTTAAATTATTACCAGCAGAATCGGGCAAACATATCGATTTATGGGCTATAAATAATTATTTAAGAAAGTAATAATATCCTAAATCATAATTCTGCAAAATTTCAACAGCTATTCACAATTTATTAAACTATTTATGTGAAATTTTTATTAGCATCTATAAAATAATTTTCTACACCAATGTTTTGTGTCTGCTTCAGTTAGCTCTGCATAGGGATGGCAACGATATATCGACGTTTTGTAAATATCGATATATTTCACAAATATATCTATATATTTTAATCGATATTTTACTATCGATATATCGAAAAAATATCGGTATAATCTTTTCGATATATCGAAAACATTAGTAATGAAGCGTGCGATGGTGCGCATGTGACGTTAATGTTGATTGACCTGGCAGCTAACACGTTAAGGCAAGGCGTGCTCACGTGGTTCTTTGTTTTATTTTTTGTGTTTGGTTTTTTTGTATGAATTTGCATATATTTTAGTCCAGAGTTCAGAGTGGGTAAAAAAATATTTTTTCTACACCCACATGGATACGCACAGATTAAAAAACGAAAAAGTATGCTATTGCCTTCAACTGAATGAATATATTTCATATCCATTCTAGGTAGTGAAAACACTGCAAAAAAATGAAATCCACCAATCACCATCCATATTTTGATCAACCAACTGCTATTATTTTTAAAATTTTAAATAGGTAAATGACAATTCTGTCAAACTATCAGTGTACTTTTTAGTTTTTGAGATTAAACATACATTAAAATGGGTTATTCTTGTGTAGAATCGATAAACAATAGCATTTCTGTTTTTATTTAGTCTATAATTATAAATAATTTGTTAATTTAATTAAAATATATGAATTACGAGTATTAAAGCAACAAAAATAAAAAATAGGTGGTCCTGTGGTTAGCGTTCTTGCCTTTCACGGGGACGATTCGAGTTCGATTATCGAATAAGGAAAAACGAAATGAACTTTTTTTCTTTTTTTTTGTTTATTTTATTTTAAAGATTATTAAAAGTCATAAATTATTTTAAAATTAGTTATTTTGTCTTAGGGTCAATTCCACCGTTGTGTTAAACGGAGATTAAAATGACATTGTTAATGTAAAAGTGTCATTTTAAACTTCGTTTAACACAACGGTGGAATCGGTTCTTAATAACCTAAAATATTTTTTTATTTGTGAATTTTTGTTAGTGAGTCGTAGAAGAAATATACTGTAGTACAACTCGAGTGGATTGTTCACATCGCACTCAGATATCGTATTCGAGCGATATGGACATCATATTCACTCTTGTTGCACAAACTACTATTCTGCAATAGTAGATTCTGTTTCAAATGAAGATTATTTTCGAAAGCTGGTTTGTCTAATTTATTATTTTTGAGTTCTTTTCTGAGAAAATATTCATATAATGCATAGCATACTCTCTTCAGCTAAGTTTGGTTTTTCGATGAAACCTATATTAAAAAAAATGTATTGTATTTTATTACTTATCTGAATAAGGACCAATTCCACCGCTAGTAGTTAAGAAATAAACCAGGTTTAAAATAAAATTTTTCAATTAAACATATCATTTTAATCTTGGCTTATTTATTAACGACTAGCGGTGGAAATGACCCTAAACAAATCTCATTTTAATTTTTAAAAATGTATTTTTGTAAATTTCTTTAAAAATATATCGATATATTCAAAATATCGATATTTTTTATTCGATATATCGAATGTATCGATATATCATATGATTCGATATATCGATATATTTTTTCATTTTGCCATCCCTAGCTCTGCATCAAAACTGATAAATCCTGTGTATGAAGTGGGAGAACTAGCAAAAGCCTTTCCAACTTCTATTCCTTCTATAATTGAATGGACACATAATCAATGCAGTCCCTACTCGTAGGCAACCAAACAAACATGTATGCATAGAAATAAAACTAACCTCTTCTTGCTAGCCTAGTATCAGAATCTGTATCTACAAACAATTTCATATGGAACAACTTCCTAACTTCGGGGAAATAAAATACTAAAATGCCTTCAAAAAGCACAACATCAGCTGGATAGATAGTTAAAATTTCATCTTTACTTCTACAAAAACCAAAATACTAAAATAACTGGTTTGCAATTCTTCATTAAGCCTAGAAAGGTAACAAAATGCATTTCATTACAGTAATTTAATAAGAATAGAAAATAAGCTCTGAAAAATAGATTTACTTTAAATTAATGTTACTTTTCTAAGGTTAACTTTTAAATTAACCAATAAAAAAATGAAAATATACATACAAGGAATGATTTCTGTAATCATATGCTGGTATTTGGACCATTTTACCAGCTAATACATCTTTCAAAGTGTCATAAATTAGAGTCTCGTTAAATGCATCAGGGTGGTCGAAATTAAACAGCCCTCTTTCTGCTTTAATAATCTCAGAAGGACTTAATTCCCTATAAAAACTATCCTGTGAAATGCAAACTACTTGTCGCTTTTTTTGATCCACATCTACTTGTCCAAGTTTCTCCATAATTCTTTTACATACCGTGCTCTAAAATAGATAATGTCGATAGCGAACTTCATTATGCATGTGCTTGGTTTATTGGAAAAAAAAATTATATACCTTCCCACTAGCTGTACCACCTGCCACGCCAATTAAAAACGGCGCTTTGGCTTCTGTTCCGTTAATTTTGTGGTCTCCATTTAGTTTTGTTGCACTCATTATTTACAAATTTGATTTAAAATTATTTAAAACGTAGATAATTCTGAATTCATAAAATCGAACATAACAATCCTCCAAGGTCAGCTGGGATGTCAGCTGTCACTTGTCACCAGTGTTGCCAGAGGCCTTCAAAGATCCTAGGACAAAATTGTACCAGATTTTAAACGATTGTATACTCGTAGAAACCATTGTATGTAAACCACTAAACTAAGGGTGAGATTACAGAACGTCTGCAACTTTGCAGATCTGCAAATATGGCGGCAACTTTGAAAATCTGCAAATATGACTGACTACATGCAAGTATCAAGTTTTCGTATTCCAAATTTGGGTTTAGTGTTGTTGGGGGCAATAAACCACAATAAATATTGCGAATTTGCAGATATTTTTTGGAATACTTGCATTTGTAAGTCCGCCATATTTGCAGATTTGCAAAGTTGCAGACGTTCTGTAATCTCACCCTTAAAGGGTGAGATTACAGAACCCTGAGGGTGAGATTACAGAACGTCTGCAACTTTGCAGATCTGCAAATATGGCGGCAACTTTGAAAATCTGCAAATATGACTGACTTACACATGCAAGTATCAAGTTTTCGTATTCCAAATTTGGGTTTAGTGTTGTTGGGGGTAATAAACCACAATAAATATTGCGAATTTGCAGATATTTTTTTGGAATACTTGCATTTGTAAGTCCGCCATATTTGCAGATTTGCAAAGTTGCAGATCTGCAAAGTTCTGACGTTCTGTAATCTCACCCTAATTGTTTAATAATAAATTCGGAACTACATGTTAATTTTAAATACCATTAACAAACTAAGTTGTTATGGACGCGACTTTGTTATTTTGCCATGCAGTTCATTTCGCCCATCCCTACTCATATAGATAGATAAAATAAAGTTCATTGAAAAATTGCGAAAATTTCGTTGAAAAGAAAAATAGACAATTTTTTCCTACAAATTCTCGTTCATGTGGACTTAGTTTTACCATGGAAGTACTTTTTTTACTTCCTCATAAAGGATATCCATTTTATTCACGATAACTCATGAACGGATACAAAGAAAAACATCAAATTTTAAATTTAAGCTTTATTTTCGGCCTGCGGTGCACTAATTAGATTTTAGGTGGAGTCGGAGGAACATCTGGGGGAGTACTTTATAGGAAGTCATTTTTATGTTTTATAGAATATATCTGTTATTTACGTTTATAGAAGAAAATGCTTTAAATAAAAGTTACTTCTTAGTTTTAATATTATTTTCTATAACCTTTGTCTTACATTAAATTTTCCTAAAATGGTCCTTATTCGAGAAATTTGACAAAATGTTAAAAAATCAATTTTTTATGAAAATCATTCAAATAAAAGTTTTTTGCGATTTAATTATCTATAATTCTTGTCCCATATATAATTTCTCTAAAATGAAGCGTATTCGAGATATTTGAGAAAAAGTATAAATTTAAAATTTTTAAGAAAACTCAAAAACCGATAAAGAGAAAAACATCAAATTTTAAACTTACGCATTATTCAGGCCTGCGGTGAACTGATTGGATTTTTGGCAGAGTCGGAATATCTGGGAGAGGGAGGGAACTTTATAGGGGTTCGTTTTTATATTTTATGGAATATATCTGTTATTTACGTTTGGAGAAGAAAATAAAAGTTACTTCTAATAGTATTCTTTATCATTTTTACTAAATACAAAATTTTCATATCTACAAAACGGCACAACATTGACAAACATTCTTTGAAGAGATGTCTGTTGTTTCATCTACTATTTAGTTGTTGCACAAGTTCATTTTTAGCCTTAATCTTCAAAATTTTAATTATTTGGGTAGTCTTTCGTCTCCCACAATTTATATTTTTCACCATTTGAGAATCTGGAATACTAAAAGATACTAGCAGAAGTTTAGGAACGTGATCCATTTGCAACATTGGGCAATTATGTTCTGCGATGAGGCCCATACTTAATTTGTACTCGGCTTCTTTAGCTACAACCGTCAATCCTATTTTCTTCTGAAGATCCTAGAAGCAATTTTTCAATGTTTCCTGTATTTGTAACCTTTTTGGCATTTTTTTGTGAAACTGATTCTTTTCATGCCTTGTTAAATGAGCTGCCCCACCCTCAACTGTGTGATAACATAAAGAGCAAATTTTCTCTTAATTGCAAAGTCTAAATTTATGATCATTTTTTTTTCTTTCTCTACAAAGAAATTAAAAGACTAGAGGAAGCGTTGGTCCTATTATTAATTAAAATAAATTATGGCATTTATATAGCTGTCATGATACGCCATTGGAAAACCAGGATTTATTTATAAAACAAAAATATTTTACAGTAAAAAAATTATCTGCCTGGAGATCTATCGCTACATTCCCGACTGGATGACGTTGCCGCAAATTCAGATTCTGATAAATCACTATTTTGTTCTAAAGTAATTGTATCGGAATTTATTATTTTATCAGATAAACCTGATGAAGTAGAAGGCTAAGAAATACTAAGCCTCGGATCTGCCGCTTTTGTTATTACAAAACATAATTACTATAGTTTTAATTATTTATTAATACAACACCTATAATATATAAAATTTTCTGTAGACCTAACAACCCTAACAAATAATAATTAGAACCTATCCATTTTTTACAGTAAAATACTTATTTTTCGTTTGGTACTGATTTAAAAACATTTTTGAAATTTATGGTAAATGGTAAGTGCATCGATTTTTATTTTGAAAAATTCGTGCCGTCATATCAATGTTTAAAATTGTACAAAATGTATCAAAAATATTAAAAATGTACTTTTGTACAAACGGTCTCAAAATGTACCAGATCTGTACAATTGTACCAGCTCTGACAACGCTGCTTGTCACGCTGTCACAAAGTAGAGGCCAAGGATACTTGACTCTCTATAGGATTGTTCAATGCATCGTGTAACATCGGAAGTATTCGGGAAAATGATGTAGTTGCCGGACCATCGAATGCGCGAAATTAAATTGAACACGATTACAAACTGCTCTGGCTTATATTTCGTGTAAAATAAGAATAGCAATAGTGAATGCCATCTAATAAACGCTTTTTTTTAATATAAACCGTTTGAGGTACCTATTTCAAAATAAATGGGACACGATAAGAAAATATCTTTAATATTGGAATTTACATAACAACAATAGATAGGTGTATTTGCTTTCAAAGACCATGTTACAATACAAGCAATTGTGGGCGGTGATTGCACAATATTTTTTAGAACATTTCTAATAGCACACATATTTAAAAACAATCGACCATGTCTTTATTAAATTCCCAATAAAATACCTACATATATACGAAAAATACAAGTATCACAAATTGAAAACAATAATTTTTTGATCTTTTATAGGTTGTTAAAATATTTGAATACTGTAACACGACCCCTGGTACCGGCCCTGTTTCCTGCTAGCAGCATCCGTGAACCCATGCCACGACCCATGCTTACATAGTGCTGCCGCCTAGCGAGTGACAGACAAGACAAGAGAGTAAGATTGACCATTCGATCAAGTAATACATGATCGAATCATTGACCGCGATCCGAGATCGATACTAATCGACAATACAAATAATTATTCATATAATATCTGCTCCTATTCTTATTTCACACATTAAAGTTTTATTCTCTTAATACGCGCAGTGTTTTAATGTTTTACTTCACCCGTTACAAAACTGGCTCCCAATAGGCCGCCGAACGAAAATCAAGACTTTCGCGAGTTTATAACAAAAACTGGACTTTTAAACGTGTATTAAGTGCAAATATCTGTTAGTGAGGCGATTATTTTTGCATTTGGTAAGTCCAATTCGATTTATTATCATTAGAATCATTTAACCTTTATAGTTTTGGAAAACAGTCATTAGGTCTGTTCTGGTTCTTCAGAAATAAGTTGAAAACTGTCTGAGTAAGTACTGGATGACCAGTCGAAAGTTAAAAAGTTTTACGCGACGCACAATTGAATAATATTCAACTGTTTTGTTGGATCTCGGACGATTTGCAGTACATAAGAAACCAGAACAAGCCTAATCTGTTAGATTTCATTGACTGCGGCATTTTTATCACTGTCTGGTGCAAGCACCAAAGGACCTTTTGAACGGATATTAAGATAGCTAGTGAATAATTAGTAAATTACATTTTTACATAAATTTTTCCAAATAACCTCACAAAGTTCGCGCCAAATCGAGGCGTCATTTACAAAGTTAGCGCCGAGTCACAGAACGGTATAATTAGGCATTCCAACGACCTGTCCAAATGGCTACCAGTGGGTAATGACAGTTTAGATATGGCAACCCTGTTGTCATGTTGTCATTAACAGGGCCAATGATACATATATAGTTATATAGATTGCTCAAAGCTGGTCGTTTACGAGCGGCCATATTGTCTGGTAAATATTTATTAATTTGAATCGGTTTAGCAAAAATGTGTTTTAAAACCAATTTTTTGCCTTTAGGTAATTAAAAAAAATAATTGCTTATATTTTTACTTTAAGGCATAAGCTTATGTTTATTTTAAAAAATATGGATGATCAATCTATGTAACTATCTATTTCATTGATCTTGTCAAATCACCAGGCCTACAGGGTTGCCATAATTTTGCCATATCATACCCCGTCAAAACCCACTGGTAGCCATTCAGTTTGGAATGCCTAATTACAGAATTGACATTCTGTCAATCGTGGACTATCGCTCCAGAGCTCCGACGTTGCCACTTTTCGAACTTTTACAGCTAAATACAGTAATATGCGCCGCCATGTTGCCGGAATGTCTGAAAAATCTTATTTTACAGATTTCGTAAATTTTACACAAAATGGGTCCCAAAAAGTCTAATGATCCAGAAGGAGGTGCAGATATCGGTCCTAGTGCTGTCACCATGTCGACGAAATAATTTTCGCAGTTGCTTGACGCGCTAAAAGATACTTCGGTACAAAGTGCCATAGACATTCAGCGTTCCTTGACGTAGGCACCAATACAGACTTTACAGACTAACGGAAATTTCGTAAAGTGTTCTGATATGACAAATGTTGACACGTTTCTGGACAATGCCATAACTTATAAATACATTAAACCCGTCTATGTACCTTTCAGG